CAGCGAGACGTGGCTCAGGCATCTAATATGCCCAGAGGGCCGCGGCTGCATGGCCAGCTCGGCCTGGCCGCGATCCCGGTCAGCTCAGTCCGGCCACAATCCTGGTCAGCTCAACCGGGTGACACGCATAAGTGGTGGGCGGCTGCTGGGCGGGAATTCTTTCCATGGTGGACGCTGAATTTTTATTGATTAAAATATACAAGCGGTGAACGGCGGTGTGCTGCGTCTTTGTGTACTACATTGCTGTTGTGGGCCGTGGACAGCTCAGGGTCAGCACCCGCATACACCCGGAGGGGTGGAGATCGCTGCTGGGTGGAGCGGCGAAGGTCTTTGTTGTTTGCGCATATAAATTTCATGTAACCCTGGTTGATAATCGTCTCCTGCGGTTGCATTCGCTTTTTTCCTCCTCAATCGCTTTTTCTATGACACTTAGAAGAGACGTTTCACACTTGTTGATGTGATGAGCAGAGTGAACTTCAGATGAACTCGCGGCGGAGAAACCTCAGAATCCTAAATCATCTTCTCTGGATTTCATTACATCCTACGTAGCTGCACACGGTGACTCTGCAGTATTTATAGGTCAGCTGTGGGAATCATCATTTATTTGGGGCTCATTCACACTTCATAAGCAGTGTAACACGCTTCCCACCCCCCACTGCAGTCACTACTCCCCATTCCGGTTAACCTCCCTATGTGACCCTGCCCAACCCTGCACAGCCTTTGCAATGAAGAATGTCACCAATGGAGTCCAGCGCAGTGCAGCATTTGCAACTTACAAGTCCACAAAGAGGCCTCTTCTTACGTTGCATGTGTGCCACGGTCCCATTCATTCCTATGGGTAAGTCATACTCATGGCAACCTCCAGCTGTCCAGTGGAGTACGGCTCACCCATAAGAATGAATGAGGCTGCTTTGCACACGTGTAGAAAGATGCGGACTCTGTGCTGCACAGCGGACTGTGCTATGGCTCCGTTCTCCCACCACTATGCCCAGCACAACATTAAAAGGAGAACTTTGGGGTTAAGCCTTTTCCCCATAGATCTCCTTAGGGTGACGGGAGGACACAAACTAGCGTCCTCCCGTTACCCTAAGCTCAGTATATAGGGAGCTGTAGCTCGCGGTATACTGAGACGCCGCAGCTGAAGCGGATCCCGACAATTATGTCTGGATCCGCCCAGCTGCGTGAGTGACAGCTGGCTCTGCCTATCTAGAGGCAGAGCCAGCTGTACCCGCCCCCTCCCCCGTCCGTTCCGCCAGTCAGCGCTGGCGGATCGGAGCGGGGAGGGGGGAATCCAGCCCCTCCCCTGTCGCGGCAGAGAGCCGTGACCGGATCGAGAGGTGAGCGAAGGCCGGTATGTGTTCTCTCACCTCCCGATCTACTGAGCCGACCTGTGACAGTCTCATTGTCACATGTCGGCTAGAACTATGAGGTGAGTGAAAAGCACCACCCTTCATAGTTCTCCTTTAAATGAAAAGGGGGGGGAATGAACGAACCCTAGGTGAGCCCCCCCTCATGGATCTGCAGTGACTTGTAGTTCTTTTTTCCCCCAATCTTGTTTGGTTTTCCCGCTCTTTTCTGCTTTCCCATCGACAGGTGATTGGTTAACACAGTATTCAGGCAGACTTACCGTTTTAGGCGGGAAAACTAGCTTGAATTCGATTGGATGAAGACTGTATCCAGGCAAACTTACCGTTTTAGGCGGAAAAACTCTTTTTATCGGAAGCTACAGAAAGCAGATCCCACACTCATCCCATATGAAGATGGCAAAGCCATTTGTGCTTCTCGAGGATGCTCAGCCACAAATGGCTTGCCGAGGCCGGGGTAAAAAGCGGGGCCTGGCATTAAAAGGAACGGCTTTGTGATGCAACCACTTTTTAAAACATCACCTGATATTTCATATGTCCTGGAAGTGCAACATCAATATAAGGAATGCACCGATATCGTTTTTTTCGGTATACATTACAAATACCGATATTCATATTACGGACGGTACTCGCCGATATCAAGTACCGATACCGGTGTCATGACCTGCTGCCTGGCTTCCGGACTGCCCAGGAAGCCGGCTCCGTGCTGTTTGTCCAGGAAGTCGGCTTCCCAGTCACTCAGCATCGAGCCAGCTGTTTGGCAGGCTCCATGCTGATTGGCTGGGATGCCAGCTTCCTGGCCAATCACATCACTACCCACTGCCTGAATTCCTGAGTGGCCGGGAAGCCGACCCCATGTTCCCTCGTGGCACTGCCATCTCTGAAATCTCCCTCTGACCGGAAGGTCTGGTATCGGGGGTAAGTATCGGAGCATTTGGGCGAGTTCGGGTACTCGCCCTCGGTATCGATGCATCCCTATTCAATAAGTCCATTCTCAGGCGTGGAGAAGTACACACATGTGAAGGGTACAGTTCATTATGTAGTAAATGTGCTGTTCTTAAAGGAACCGGTCAGGAAAGGAACACTGAGGCCGCCATTTGCTAACCTCTCCTTTCACAATGCTGACTTCTAATGCTGATCCACACTTTGAGTCAATGTCCAGGAAACATGCAGACAAGGACTTCTGACTTTTTGATCTGCATACTTGTTGCAGGTCAGTGATCAGGATTTTCACACGGACAGTTCGGTTTTAGAGTCTTGTGACCGTGTGTCCAGCCAGCAGGCACCCGGACATGAAGACACTCAGTGCCTACACTTTAAAATTTTCTTACAGCCGCATCTCTGATTGCTCCTCCTCCTCCGACTTCCTGGCATCGTACTGCCCGCCGACCCCTGGTGAGACACATTAGCTCAGAAAGCCCTGAGTTTCGCACAGCCCAGCCCACCCAGGAGCCCGCACAGCCCAGCCCACACGGAAGGAGCCCGCACGGCCCAACACATCCGAGAGCCCACACGCTACAGCCCACCCGGGAGCCCACACGGCCCAGCCCACCCGGGAGCCCGCACGACCCAGCCCACTCAGAAGCCCGCACAGCCCACCAGGAGACATCTGGGCACCAACTCAGAACAGCACAGAATATGTAGCTCCATATTATTTTGCATTGCCGTATAATGTATTGCTGGGATTTGTTGTCCTCTATGGCTGCCTCTTTTTGCTCTTTCCTCTATATGTAAAAAAAAAAGAAGAAATTTGCAGCGCGCCGCCCCAGGGTGTTCAGGTTTCACTTGAAGAAAAGGTGACAACTCTATCAGTGATTCTAATTAGGTAATGGTGTTCCCCGTATTTCTCCTACAACAGAACACTGTATGCGGAGCTGAATCCTTCGAGGGGCTGTTTACGGGATCTGAAGCTTTCCTACATCTGCTCCGATTAGCAGAGCAGCACAAACATACTTTCCCGGGGCAGCTGCTGTGTTTATATCTCGCTGTCTTCTCTGTTGGGAATAAATCCTCCGAGTTCCTTTCCCCGTCACATATGAGAGCTGCCAATCAATGCCTGGCTGAGGCGACACCTCCCGTACCGCGCCCGGATCACACTCCGCATCCCGCTCTTCGGTTTCCGCTGCGCCAGAGAGAGGAACAGACAAAAAACGATGGAGGGGGAACATTCTGCCCTTTCAGCCGTCTGCTGATATCCGTTTACTATTCCTTCACCGAGGAGAAGACTTCTATATTCATTTTCCAAAACCTATCCAAAAGGATATTCTCTCTAAAATCTGGTGTACACCTCGTAAATTGGGGGGAAAAAACCTGCACCCTCCCAGCATGTGCACGTGACTGGGGCGGCCATACTGTAGAGGAGGCCACTACTCAGGAGGAACCAGAACTTCTTATTCATCTTTTATGGTCTGCAGCTTTCATTAAAGTAGAACTATGGGGTCAGGGCTTTTCACCATAGTTCTCCTAAGGGTCACGGGAGGACACACCGTTTGGGGCGGCCATACTGTAGAGGCGGCC